TTGAGGCCGCAGCAAAAACCGATAATTGATCGAAAAAGTCTCGGGAGACGAGAAAAAGTGTTGCTTCACAGTGAAGTATAGATCCCCCATAGAAAAGGATGTGAGTGACTTCAAGAGGCTGCTAACGAGGGACAGATTTTTCGAGTCATTAGCTAGTTTTGTAAACGGTCTAAGGCTTGTGGTAGGGATGCATATGACAGCAGAAGCCGTGTCCAGCTTTTCTACGCGCCTCCGCGAATGCCAAGTGAAAGTTACCGATGATACGACCTGATATTCATGCACATGCACACCAGAAAGGGTAAATGAAATCCAGCAACAAGTGTACGAGCATAGAGGCTGGACCAGTGCCGAACGTACCCGAGTGCAGTCGTAGGCAGTGTTGTGAAGGAAAAAAATGTGGATAATCAGAATGATGAGTGTTTTGGTCCCCTGTTTCATTACAGAAGCACAACTCCAGTTCCAATTTGGTGTCTGGAGAAACAAATGTTTCTCCTTTGACTGGATGTAAATGAAACCGTCAGTACTGATGTGTACTGCCTGTTCGTCAACGACATCGACAAACGGATAGCAGAATAGAACTGCAAGAAGGCCATCATGGTAATCGCGTAAGTTTTTCGGCTAGGAAAACCTTCTAATTCAGTCCGTCCGATCTGCTGCCGTGCGTAGTAAATCTGTTCACGTAAATGGCTGTGTTGTCCTAAATGTCGCCTGGCGAAGCCGGGCTCACCTGGCTTCGCCAGGCGCACATCATAATGGGAATGGATGGAGGAGAGCTCGGCGTCTGCCGGGCGCTCCGACTGGTGTAAGTTAAATCCGCCTATTCTTCCGTAACTCGGCCTGAACACCTAGTACTTACTTGGTGACAGATTAGTTTTCATGCGTAGAATGCGAAAACAAAAAACAAGGTCCGCAACTGTCCATCTGTCTTTGAGCGTCTTTTAATTGTTTTAAACGTTCGTTATAACTTGGCATTGAGTTGTGACATTGGAAAGCACGATGGAACAGCAGCCTTGTAAACAACTTCTGTACCTTTTCTAGCTTGATGATTTGCTTTTTACGTGTGGGATTCCAAATCTGAGAACAATACTCAAGATGCGGCAGTACATATGTCTTGTAAAGGCGTACCAGAGTGGTTACATCAGTGGTATAGGTATTACGAAAAACTGCGAAAAGGGTAGCATATGCCTTTTACACTATGTTCGATGTGTTTAGATAATTTCAGATTCGTGTCAACCAAAACTCCAAGATCTTTAGAGAGTTCGCAGCTTTTCAAATTCACATCATTGATTGTATATTGTGTAAAATAGGCTTTACCTATATGCAGTACAAACGTCTTCTTTGGGTTTACATCGATATCCCAGTGTGTGGCCCAAGATTTCAAGTTTTCAACGTTTAAAAGCTAAGTGAATCTCGTTACAGTTAAAGACACCATAGATACCATTAATATCATCAGCATACATTTGCACTCTTACATTTTCAGATGTTTTGAGGTAGGACGGCAAATCCAAGGTATAGATCACAAAAAGTAGAGGAGATAGAACTCCGCCTTGGGGTACGCCACTAGTGCAGTGAAATCGGTCAGAAAACCTTTGCCCCACTTTGACAGTCATATGTCGATCAGATAAATAGGATCTCAAGCACTTTAGGAAGCGTGATTCACCTTGTCAAATGCTTTGGATAGGTCAACGTAGATAATGTCGATTGACTTACCATGGTTCAATGCTAGATTCCAGTCATGAAAGCTGTCAACAAGGTTTGTTACAGTCGATAGCCCGGAAGGAAACCGTGCTGCTCATGTGGAATAAGCTTATTTTTTAGTAACCAATCAAGAATACTCTTTCGAATAGTCTTTTCCATCACTTGACAGGTGTTGGAGTAATACTGATGCGCATCCTTCCAGATCTCAGGAACCTCGCCCAGCATGAATGATGCGTTAAATAAATGAGCAAGCGGTCGCGAAAGCGAGCGAGCGCATTTCTTATAAACTATAGGAGGTATTCCATCGTACGGTTCACTGGTAGAGGGTTTCAATCTCTTCAGAACGCTAAAAATCTCATTGGGAGTAAAGTAGAAGTCATTGCAACGGCACTGAATAGTTCAAAATTCGTTTAGTAAGAACACATGGTCAGCATCTTTGGTGAAGACACTGGCAAAAAAATTGCCAAGTGCGGTAGCTTTATCAGTTTCGGAAGTGCATGTTACTCCATTCATATCAACAATAGAGCCTGAACTTCCTATCATTCATTTTGTGACGGATATATTGGTGAAGATTCTTCATAGAAGCACGCTTGGCTAGCCGTCGTTGTACAAATTTTGCGATACAGGTCAGACATCGAATCATAGCCTTTGAAAACCGTGAACCAATCTACGTTATGGAGGCTGTTATCGACGGAAGCGTAGTCCACGTTATGGTAATCCGGCATGGGTAGTGATAGGTAGAGTAAAACCCCTGTATATGGAAGTTCACAATACAATGGTCAGAGCTTGACAAAGGAGGCATCAGTGACACGTTTGTAATAGAAGGGGTAGTAGTGAGAATGAGATCAAGGATCCGGTTTTCATGGGTTGGTTCCCGTACCACCTGATCAAGGCCTGAGTTGCGAAAAATTT